AAAACGAAATATGTTGAAATCAGAAGGTTAGATCAGGGGGTAACGGGAGTTTTAGGAATTCTACTTTAATTTGAAAGTGTTTTTCACACATTATTCATATTTTTCCCTTGCATGCAGTTTTTTCTTCACAATTGTCAACCCCCTCCCCCTCCCACCCAAAAAACAACTGCATAATTATTTCTCTTGATTATATTTGGCTGGTATTTAAAAAATTCACAGATTCGAAATACTTTAAAAAATCATTCCAAATCAAACGGATTGATTTCTTTATTAGTGTTGTTTGTACTATAAAGTTAAAGTACTACTCCTCTGAAAATGGCCAAATTACAAATTTGAGTAAGCCTTTCAATGTTTCTTTATCTTGAGCAATAAGTTTTTAATAAATTTCTTAAATTCTGAAACGTATTCTCAAAAACTTGACACAATTCTTTCAATTGATGACATCATAGAATTATCGATTCTTGTATATTTCACACTAAAATTTCTCACAATACAGAATAAAGTTATAAGAACGACAAAATTTACATTTTTGATAAAAACAAAATTAACTGATTTTCAGTACAAATACCATTAGAATTTAACAAAAAAAAATTGTATTCTTACTGCACGATCTTACCTGACAAATTTGAGGGATTTGTTTGCCCATGTGCATTTTGCAGTCCTTTGAGATCTTGTATATCTGACATAGTAAATAGAAAAAATAAGAATCTAAATAGAGATGATGTTTAATTCATTAGTTCTATATCACATATAAAGCACTGATGTTTAATTCATCAGTTGTATGTCATATATCTGTCATTCCAATACTGACAATAGTCATTCCCCTATTTGGGATCAAAATGTTTACAATTGTCCCCACAGTGAATATACAGCAATATGCAGAAATTATGATCATTTTGACTATATATAAAATATATCAGAAATCATTGGATATAATGGCCGATATGTTTTTTGAAATTGTCYAGAAAGTACTTTCTGAAAAATATATTGGCAATGATATCCCATACAGGTTTCGTACAGATTTTTACATATAAAATTCAAGGACTTTTCAAGGACTTTTTAAGGTGGATTAATTTTCAAATTTCACGGACACCAATTACAAAGAGAAAGATACATGTACAGTTAATAAACTTACTAGTCCTGTGTCTTACCAAACAGAACAATAAAAACATTGTAGTCGACTTGGTAATTAAGAACTTTATCTCTTGGAACATATTTTTCTCAGTCTCTATTAATTTCTTTGCCGCCGTATTGCACAATAGTACAACAGACATTGCCAAAGCGATTGAAACATTATGAATTTGCATATTCAAAGCTTCTGGCAAAATTGATCTCTAAARCATTACTTCACAACAACCAAGACTGATTCAAGGACTAAATTATCATTTTCAAGGACCTTTCCTCCAAATTCAAGGACTTTTCAAGGAAAATTTGCATTTAAGGACTTTTCAAGGACCTAGCTCCAAAATCAAGGACTTTTCAAGACTGTACGAACCATGGCATAATTTCGGATACRTTTTTTATATACTTGAAATATGAGCAAAAAAGTGAACTTTTGTACTGAAATTAGGACAAATCTTTGCCAATTTCTAGACTCTGTCATGGCAATATTTCTTTTATTGCTAGTCATGAAAGAGTATTTTCACTGTACCACATTATAATCTAACAAGACCAGAATCCTTTACTTATCCTCAAAAGTATAAATGAATAAACAAAATATTGTACATGGTCTAGGGAATAAATTATTCAACCACATGTCAATGTGACTTTTATACTCCAAGACTGACCTTTCTTGATTGCTTCTTGTCCATGTTGTAGGCACTGCATCATGACCTCTTGTCCTTGCATTAGATCCTGCTTGTGATCTTGCATATCTGACACATTTAATATAAATAATATTGATACAAATAACAGGGATATAGACATAGTTATAACTTACGCAAAGTAGTTAACTAGCACTGATGTTTAATTTATCAGTTCTATATCAGATATAAAATCACTGATGTTTAATTCATCAGTTGTATGTCATATATATTTGTCATCTGTCATCCCAATGCTGACAAAAGGCACTCCCCCTACAATTGTACCACAGTTGTATCAAACTTTTTATGAACGAAAGTAGATTGATCTTAAAATTCCAAGTTGTATTTGCACTTATTTCTTGAATTTAAAAGCGTGTTTTGCTCATCACTCCTGATGAGCATTTTTAAATTGTTTTCTTACTGAATGATGTACAAATTYCTTGCTGATTTAGAAACTGGGTCWCCACTGTTTTATTGTCAGTTGTTTTTCAWTTTTATTTTACTGACCTTGTTGCATGGCAACCGCTCTTTGCTGTAGACCTGATTGGCCTCGAAGTATCTTCTCCTGTGCTYTTCTTATCTTATCTAGTCTGTTRTTTACTGYGAAATCAAAAAAATGCACATTGATTATTTATAATATAAAAATCAAGCTGCCAATGGCAACATAACTCGAAGACTGGATGATGAATTCATGAATCAAATTATATTTACTAAAATTTTAATTTTAAGTAAAGATTTACAAAGAATTTTTTTTCTTATTATTTAATTTCGGTTATGCCAGCTAAAAAACAAGTCTCTAAGCTGCAATTATGTAACATTAGCACATGTGTCCGAGTAGTATTAGTGCCTTCAATTATGACGCAGGTTCGAGACACCGATGAGTCTACATTTCTTTGATTTCTTTATTTGCACAAAAATAAATACATTTAATGAAATATAACGCAGGGAAAGCGGTGAAGGAAAATTAGTGAATATAATTACTATAAAATAATTAGAATATATAAATAATTCTGAAGTAGTAACGCAGGCTCAAGTTTACAG